TTAAGTCGAAATAATTGTCAGGGTTCTTACTTAACATTTTAAATCGAAAATGTTATGGTAGCTGAAATTGATTTATTTATATATTTACCAATATAAAATAGTACACAAAGAATTTTAATTAAAATTTTAAAGCTTTAGAGACCTGGCAAATTGTAATTTTCTTAGTCATTTAAAACATTTTGAAATTATAAATAGAGATATCAAAACAATACAGGTAAATTTCTAATTAAATTGAGACTGTCTGATTTATAAGCCCTCAATTTGTGTTCGTTAAATCGAGACAAAATTCATTCCACAAAATTAATTAAAACTGAAGTATAAGTCAGTTTCAAGTGCCAGTTATTAGACAATTATCCCTCAATTTGGCAATGAGTTCTACAGAAATACAGAACTTACCTCAACTTTGAAAATATAATCGCACTGTGAGTAATTCAATTAAGCAGAGCCTCAATCAATCAAGCGATACTTCGATCGATTCAATGGCCATCTCGTCCAAGTATCGACGCATTGATTAATGGCAACGCATTCAGTGTAAAATTCAATGCCGCTAATTGGGCAACAAATTAGAAATCTATGAAAATAATCATTACACATCGCCCACTCTGTGGCACCCAAGGGCTAATGATCCGATCTGAACGCCCGAACTCCTGAATGGACTGGCTTTTGCCAGGGGACTTAACTTGGCCCGAATTGTATTGGCAAAATCAATGGATACATATACATGCATGCGACGACCTCTTTAATTCGCAAACTCCTGTCCAATACCACTCATTTATAAAGTTATGCGCTAATAAATAGTTCACAATGGAGTATAAATTGGCAGTTTCAACCGAAAATCGAGGGGTTTCTGAATTTCGACTGGTGAGAGCCAAAGTGTGTGACTGCATGTAGAAGCTGCCGCAAAATGATAATAATTACGTGCATTATGTTTAATGCAAGCGATGAACAAACCGAATGAAAATTGAAGGGGGCCGCAGGGGCGGGACGAAGGGGGTCGATGAGCGGCCATTGATTTCAGCTTTTAATTTGAGGCCATTGTTCTAAGGCGAGCACACTGAAAAAAAAAAGGAAAAAATTAAGGGAAACTTAAACTTAAGGAAATAAATAAAATATACAGAATAAATATTTCGAGTAAATTAGAATTACACAAAATAGGCAACAAACATTTCCGATTTTAAAAAAAAGTACAAGACTAGGAAAAAAAAAACATTAAATAAAGGTAACAAATTATTTAATTTCAATTATTATTTCAAATATATTTCGATAAAATAAAATGACAATTTTAGCAACAAAAACATTTTTCCGAAAGTAAATATGAATATATGAATGAAATATTACTTTCGAAGTCTGTTTTTAATATTTGTTTATTCTTTAAAAATATTTTAAAATAAAAAAAACGTAAAATTCTTCTTGATTAACATTCTTAGTTAAAGGGTAATAAATTAAAATTACAGATTCCTATTTAAACAATAATTCATTTTTTATTAACAAAATGGAAATTGCATATATAAATAAATAAATTTTAAATCCAGTCAACATGTGCATAATTTTTACCTTGCATATTTTAGAAACTCAAAAAGTAAATAATGTTTTAACTCTCCGAAGCAACCAAAAATGGTTTTCAGTATTTTTTATGTTTTCCAAGAATATTTCTCGCTGTGCACCTCCATATGTGTGTCCTTTTGCACATGTTTGTGTGTGGGGGTTAAATGCGAGTGCATGTAAATGTTGTCGTCGTGGCCAAACAATAGCCGCTAGTTAGTTTGCTGGCCGCTTGTTTTTTTGCAACTATTACGGCTCGATCTTTGACCCCCCTTCGCCCTCTTTTTCACCCCACTCAACCCCCCTTCCCATGGTTTTTTGTGTGTTGCATTAATTAAAACACAATCATCGCAAAATTATGCATGCCGCTGCCTCGTCGACGGGCAGAAAATTATTTATTGAAGGCATTCAAATAAATTACAATGCCCCAGAAAAACCCCGAAAAACCCCTACCATGGATAGTTGGCAGTTGATTAGCTACCAGAAAATGAAGCCAAAATTGGCAAAACGTCAACGGTTTCAGCCATGACGTGCAATTATAAATGCGAACATTTTAGACATATATCCTATAAGCCCACACAAATAGTAAAAAATGTTATTGGGTTGAAACACATAAATAAATTAAATTTATTGAAGTCTCAAGGGATATAAAAAAATTAATGATTTATTAACGATTTTAAGTAAATATGGTACAAAAGCTGTCAATTAATTAAAATATTGTAAACAAATTGAACTATCAAGAGCTTTGAGAGGCGCCCTCTGGCGTAGAGTAAAAAAATCTGGAGTACTTCAAACAACAGGTGGCGCTAAGCAAAGTCAACAGGGAAATTTTTAATTATATGGGGTTTTTTATTTAAAAAAAAATAGTGTTTAATGATTAATTATATATAATTAAATAAATTAAGACTTAACTCCTTAATATAATTTAGTTCTAAGTTCATATTCTCTTGTTACTTAATTTATAATGGAAATAAAACAAAGTACATATATACAAAAATCGGGAAATTAAATAAGTATACGAGTAAAAAAGAGTTGGCATATACAATGAAATATATAAGTCAATGCTTTCACTTTAAAAATAAATGAGTAATGGCGGTAAAAATAAGTGTTACGGCTGCCCAATAAGTGGATACAAAGCATTTGAGCTGTGACAACATTTAATTGAACAAGGTTAATGACAGTTCACTCGGCAGCAAACTGTAAATTTAAATGCATTAAGGACCGCATTTGCGACTAAGCTGTAAGTACCAAGCGAAATAGTTCACGAATGCAATGGAGTTGCAATAGCGGTAATGACAGCAACACGAAATCGGTTAAGTCAGGATAGCAACAATACCAATTACAGATGCATCGATAATACAGTGGGAAAAATATTAAAGGGGGTATATTCTTGAAAATGTATATTACCTAGTCAAACAAAATTTATATTTGAGGTAATTTTGTTTTATTTGAAAAAATTATAATATATGTATGTAATGTAATACAAATATTAATAACATTACGTGATGTTTAAAACAAATCTAATCCATTTATAATTAGAATAAAAGCTCTTTCTCAATACAAGCAAATGTTGAATATTTCAAACACTATATTTAAAAAATCAACTGAAATATTTGGAATATTTTAAATACAATATTTTAAAAATCAACTTTTTATATAAGTGATATGGTCATTTCTACCTATTTCCATCTTAAAAATGTTTAATGATATGAATGTTTTTTTTCTGTGCCTATAACGACGAATCGCCAAAGAACCATTAACCCCGAATGCAAATGTTCGTCTTCCAGGGTAGATATTGAAAATCAAAACATAAATGAGCTAGAGATTAAAACCTATATGGCCCTTTTAAAGGACTTATTGATTTTTCTTTATCAATGAAAATAATGTGTGATATTTTTAAGTCAAGCTTAATTGCTACCTATTGGAGCATGGTTTTTAATGATATGGATATTTTTTTCTGTGCTTACAAAGACTATTCGCCAAAAAACCATTAACCCCTAGTGCAGAAGGGCGGCTTCAAGGGCGGATATTAAAAATCAAATCATAATTGCCAGTTAAGCACTTTGCAGTGTTGTCGCGTGAGGCAGTGGCAAAGAGTCCAAAACTGTAAATCGTATTAAAATAATTACATTTAATGGCGGCCGATCTCTCCGCTCGAAACTCATTTGTTTTTATTAACGCCACATGTAATTGCAACCGATGCAGTTGCACATTGAACATTGCACGTTGCACGTTGCATGTGGCACGTGTCCAGCCATATGGAAATACCCCCGGACGTCTGGGATTGGATTTGGTTAAAGGCCGGGTCGAATAGTTAACGATTATTTAACCAGAAGGAATTAACCTCATTTTCATGGTTTCATAATTAATCCAATTTGTTCAACATATAAATTTCGCAGTCTCGGATTGCTTTTTTTTCTGTTTTTTTTTGGACTCTCCTCCTCTGACCGATCATAATTGGAAATTTATTATCCACTGCGGAGTTGTCGACAGGGGAGTTTTGCTGTAATCAATATGCAATTGTGTTGCTGTCTCTTACCCTCTGGCACCCTCTATATGGATCTTCCCTCTCTTTCGCTGGCCACGCGGCGTATACGCAATGCGGACAATCAGCAACAGAAACAGAATCAGAAACAGGAACAAGAACAACTTAATACGCGGCCACAAACAAGGGCAATTATGAAGAGCCAGCACTTATGCCCAAGAGATGTGGCTGATGAGGGGGTGAGGGGGTGGTGGTCCTTAATAGGTGGTCCATTGTGGGTGGCAAAGTCCCACCCAGTATGGTATTACAAATTTCCCAACCAGAAAAGGACATTTCTTTAACAGGGAAAGTTTTGGTTAGTTTTCCGAGCAAAAGCTATCGTGTCCCAAAAGCTTTCGAATTTGGGGAGCTATGTTTTTCGAAAAACTTAGTTTTAAGGCATCCGTAACATCTGTTATTAAAATTAACTGTTATTTTGGTTAATGATTTTAACATTTGCCTTACTTTTATGTAACAACTTACTTAACATCCGGTAAGGCCCCTGAAAATCTCAACTACCAAAATTAGTGGGCTATATTTAAGGGCGCTAGGAAAGACATAAGAAACAGCTTTCCCTTCAAAAATTTAATATTTAGCAAATAATAATAAAAATAATAATATAAATAAAACATAAAAAAAAAATGAGAAAAGTTAATTGCGTTAAAAAAAAATCGTCAAAAGCTTATTTTCAGAAACTTGGTAGGGGAGTTTAGGGTGTTTTGACATTGTTAAAGAACATTTTTATAAAATCGCATTAAAATATTCCATAAACATTCACTGAAATCAAGGTTTGAATGGAATTCTGCAAAACCCACTTAACCCTTAGTTTTTACTATAAATCCGACAAAATACACAATTAATACACAACAAACAGCTCGGGGACACTAAAAAGAAAAGCCCATAATCGAAATTAAAATCGTTCGACTTTTGCATTGTTTTATTTTAAAAGTCTCCTGGAAATACCCATATATTTACACTAAAATTTAAAAGTGTTTCCTATTCAGTTCTCACAATTCTGAAAAAATGGTAGATGTTATTGCTTGTGTTTAGCTTTAAATTAAGATAACCTTACCAAAGTGGCCTCTCAACATTTTTTTTATGACTTCCATGCAGACGGCACCAAATACGAGTTGCCTCTTTCAAGAGATCGTTGGGCGGCAAGTCCTTATTAATCCTTTGAAACTTGCGCATGAAGGGTATAAAGCCGCGTTTCTTTGGCAGAAAAGTAGGAGGTCCGGCCTTCTTCTTGACTTGGTTTTTGATTGATTTGGATAGCTTCCTCTTCTTTCTTTTCCTGGAATTCCTCTCACGGGCATAAGGAGATCGAACTGGACTACGTTCAGATTGATGGGGACTGTCCCCATGGGACTGACTCTCAAACACTTGAAGTGCACTTTTCATAACGTCCCCAGGTTCTTTCTATTGTAGTTGATAATTGCTATATATTTTTCATACCTAAGATATTTCTTACTTACCATATTTGTAAACCGTTCCTTTTCCTGGAGGGCCAACTTGTTCCATTCTCTAGCTCCGAAACGTATGACGTCCTGTGGAGAAATTCCGCAGAATCGCTTTTTGTATTCGTTCAAGAAGTTTAGGTAGCCATTGATTGTAATGCTCTCTACTTTTTGTATATTGTAAATTGGTTTACACGGTGCCATTCCGCTCTTTTTTCCGTCCAACCTTTTTATTTATTTATTTGTGTAAAACTAAAATTTTGTACCTCTTACACGACACTGTTTTCAATTGAATACTAATGCGAAAACTGATTCTGATTGAGAAGCTGTTCTCCCAGCTACCACGATATTTTTTTTTATTTACAACTTTGAATAAAAAATTATTAATCTGAAAGATACTTGTAAAAATATTATACCGTTAAAAATTCAGTAAAATTTTTTATTACTCATTATTTTCTCAATAAATGATCACTGTTTTGGCTGCCATAATGCAAATTAAGGTCAGAATGAGGAATGCCATATCTCGTTGAGCTTGTTGTTTAATTTCCAATCCATTGGCATTCAGGCCTAGAAAAATTTAATTTTTGCCGTTTTTTTGAAAAACAGATGGTGTATAAAAAATGAGAAAATGGGTCAAAAAAGAAATGTTCCTTAAAGTAATGGGAATCGATTGCATTTGTAGCAAGCTGCTCAAAACACTCTCTCTTTTAGCTGTACGCCTTGATTTGACTAAACTACGACTGAAAAACCACTAACAAATGAGTATTTTTGACAAAAATCTGAACCCCAAAGATGTACCACCTTAAAAAAAATGAGAAATTGGGTCAAAAAATAAAGGTTCCTTAAATTTATGGGGACCAAACCACTAAAAAATGAGTATTCTTGACCAAAATCTGAATCCCAAAAATAACCAATGTACCCCCTTAGAAAAAATGAGAAAATGGGTCAAAAAATATAGGTTCCTCAAAGTGATAGGAATCGATAGCATTTGTAGCAAGCTGCTCAAAACAGTCGGTCATTTAGCTGTACGCCTTGATTTGGCTAAACTACGACTGAAAAACCACTAAAAAATGAGTATTTTTGGCTAAAATCTGAATCCCAAAAATAACCGATGTACCCCCTTATAAAAAATGAGAAATTGGGTCAAAAAATAAATGTTCCTTAAAGTGATGGGAATCGATAGCATTGGAAGAAAGCTGCTCAAAACAGTCGGTTATTTAGCTGTACGCCTTGATTTGGCTAAACTACGACTGAAAAACCACTAAAAAATGAGTATTTTTGACCAAAATCTGAATCCCAAAAATAACCGATGTACCCCCTTATAAAAAATGAGAAATTGGGTCAAAAAATAAATGTTCCTTAAAGTGATGGGAATCGATAGCATTGGAAGAAAGCTGCTCAAAACAGTCGGTCATTTAGCTGTACGCCTTGATTTGGCTAAACTACGACTGAAAAACCACTAAAAAATGAGTATTTTTGGCTAAAATCTGAATCCCAAAAATAACCGATGTACCCCCTTATAAAAAATGAGAAATTGGGTCAAAAAATAAATGTTCCTTAAAGTGATGGGAATCGATAGCATTGGAAGAAAGCTGCTCAAAACAGTCGGTTATTTAGCTGTACGCCTTGATTTGGCTAAACTACGACTGAAAAACCACTAAAAAATGAGTATTTTTGGCTAAAATCTGAATCCCAAAAATAACCGATGTACACCCTTATAAAAAATGAGAAATTGGGTCAAAAAATAAATGTTCCTTAAAGTGATGGGAATCGATAGCATTGGAAGAAAGCTGCTCAAAACAGTCGGTCATTTAGCTGTAAGTCTTGATTTGGCTAAACTACGACTGAAAAACCACTAAAAAATTAGTATTTTTGACCAAAATCGGAATCCCAAAAATAACCAATGTACCCCCTTATAAAAAATGAGAAATTGGGTCAAAAAATAAATGTTCCTTAAAGTGATGGGAATCGATAGCATTGGAAGAAAGCTGCTCAAAACAGTCGGTCATTTAGCTGTACGCCTTGATTTGGCTAAACTACGACTGAAAAACCACTAAAATATGAGTATTTTTGACAAAATATGAATCTCAAAAATAACCCCCTTACAAAAAATGAGAAAATGGGTCAAAAAATAAATGTTCCTTAAAGTGATGGGAATCGATAGCATTTGTAGCAAGCTGCTCAAAACAGTCGGTCTTTTATCTGTACGCCTTGATTTGACTAAACTACGACCGAAAAACCACTAAAAAATGAGTATTTTTGACAATATATGAATCTCAAAAATAACCGATGTACCCCCTTACAAAAAATGCGAAAATGGGTCAAAAAATAAATGTTCCTAAAAAAGATATGGATCGGTAGCATTTGTAGCAAGCTGCTCAAAACTGTCGGTCTTTTATCTGTACGCCTTGATTTGACTAAACTACGACTGAAAAACCACTAAAAAATGAGTATTTTTGACCAAAATCTGAATCCCAAAAATAACCGATGTACCCCCTTATAAAAAATGAGAAATTGGGCCAAAAAATAAATGTTCCTTATAGTGATGGGAATCGATAGCATTTGAAGAAAGCTGCTCAAAACAGTCGGTCATTTAGCTGTACGCCTTGATTTGGCTAAATTACGACTGAAAAACCACTAAAAAATTAGTATTTTTGACCAAAATCGGAATCCCAAAAATAACCAATGTACCCCCTTATAAAAAATGAGAAATTGGGTCAAAAAATAAATGTTCCTTAAAGTGATGGGAATCGATAGCATTGGAAGAAAGCTGCTCAAAACAGTCGGTCATTTAGCTGTACGCCTTGATTTGGCTAAACTACGACTGAAAAACCACTAAAAAATGAGTATTTTTGGCTAAAATCTGAATCCCAAAAATAACCGATGTACACCCTTATAAAAAATGAGAAATTGGGTCAAAAATAAATGTTCCTTAAAGTGATGGGAATCGATAGCATTGGAAGAAAGCTGCTCAAAACAGTCGGTCATTTAGCTGTAAGTCTTGATTTGGCTAAACTACGACTGAAAAACCACTAAAATATGAGTATTTTTGACAAAATATGAATCTCAAAAATAACCCCCTTACAAAAAATGAGAAAATGGGTCAAAAAATAAATGTTCCTTAAAGTGATGGGAATCGATAGCATTTGTAGCAAGCTGCTCAAAACAGTCGGTCTTTTATCTGTACGCCTTGATTTGACTAAACTACGACCGAAAAACCACTAAAAAATGAGTATTTTTGACAAAATATGAATCTCAAAAATAACCGATGTACCCCCTTACAAAAAATGCGAAAATGGGTCAAAAAATAAATGTTCCTAAAAAAGATATGGATCGGTAGCATTTGTAGCAAGCTGCTCAAAACTGTCGGTCTTTTATCTGTACGCCTTGATTTGACTAAACTACGACTGAAAAACCACTAAAAAATGAGTATTTTTGACCAAAATCTGAATCCCAAAAATAACCGATGTACCCCCTTATAAAAAATGAGAAATTGGGCCAAAAAATAAATGTTCCTTAAAGTGATGGGAATCGATAGCATTTGAAGAAAGCTGCTCAAAACAGTCGGTCATTTAGCTGTACGCCTTGATTTGGCTAAATTACGACTGAAAAACCACTAAAAAATGAGTATTTTTGACCAAAATCTGAATCCCAAAAATAACCGATGTACCCCCTTTTAAAAAATGAGAAATTGGGTCAAAAAATAAATGTTCCTTAAAGTGATGGGTAGGAATCGATAGCATTTGTAGCAAGCTGCTCAAAACAGTCGGTTTTTTAGCTGTACGCCTTGATTTGGCCAAACTACAACTAACAAACCGCCTAAAAATATGCATTAGTTTTCATAGTCATATCCTGCATCGTGAACTCTGATAGAGATCCTATCGAAGCTGTAAAAAATCCAACAACACACTAAAATTCCCAACCAGTTCTAGCGCTGCTTGCAGTTATACCGCTGACCAACGAGTTTAATGATGATGATTGTTGTTGGCCACTACATGAAACATGCATGTACAGTGATGCTTCTTCGCTTCTCTTTGAGTGTTGGCTTAATGTCAAGCCTAAGATTTCTTGAAATCCAAGCCATATGACTAAGGACTTTCTCTTCACCAACAAACATAAAGAAAATATGCGTAGTAGATAATGACATCTATTTCTCCCTGCTTTTGAAATTTTAAGCCTACAAATCAATTCTTCAGTAACCGCGAATTCTTAAGACGTAGATGTTTAGCTTCTACAGATTGTGTGCAATCTAGAGAAAAACATAACATATTTTGAAAAATTAATTTGATAAATCAAACATGACTTTTTAAAATAAATCCTGATTTAAGTAAAAAAATCTAAGATTATAGTTGGTTATCTGCTGTGCGACAAACTATTTCCTATGATGAGTTTAGTTTTAACTTATGTAGGTAGGTTGGGATGGAGCTTGTATAACTGACCGTGTGGCCCAATGGATAAGGCGTCGGACTTCGGATCCGAAGATTGCAGGTTCGAGTCCTGTCACGGTCGTAATACAATTTTTTTTGAACTGAATATTTTGTGAGCTCATTAAAATAATAATATGGTAAGTACTAGCGTTATCCTTTTGTATAAACCAAGTGAAGAAGCAGCAATACTATACAATTAGCATACCCAATTCAGATATTTATTACCTTTGGCAACATTTCCTGTTTTTCCTCGAAACAGCCTCTACATATTTAGAAAAAATATTCAAGGTGGCTTAATAATTATCCGAGCTAAGATTAGCAACAAGTATCTTAAGGACTCCGAAAAAAAAACTGCTAGAAACTCAGGATTAGCCGAGACTCAGTCCTTGAGCTGCTATACGAATTACTCGAAGAGCAAACTAGGTATAAGTAATGTATTAAGAGTGATATGGTCAGAACAGCGCATGTCTCAAAAGTTAACAGAAGCTAAGAGCAAAGTACAATTTCAGGAAAAACGACTAGTAGTTCTCTTTCAGTTTTCATCCACTTTTCCTTGAACTTATCCAAGTTTCACACCCATCCATAATTATTGAAAACATGAAAGAACAGCATCTCAAATCTCTTCTTTCTCCAGTGCGCAGAATCCGGGAGAAATTGGAAAATCGCTGCTAATAAAAGTCGGTTAACAGTCGTTCAAGACGTGCCGGCTTCTATTTTGAACAGCGCTATTTTATCCGAAATATCAGCTGAATTTTGAGCTGGAGCCACACACTTAACCCTTCATCCTGATTTTTTCCCCATCCATATCATCAAATAAATCTCAATTACCCGAAGCAACAAATCACTGGCAGTGCTAATGTAG